TACATATATATATATATATGTTTGTATGTATGTATATTTTTATATCTATGTATATATGTATACATATATATATGAAATAATATATATTTACAAGCTTTGTAACTTTTCGCGAAATGCTTCAACTCGTTCTGTCCGCGGATGATTTATTCATAATATTCTATCCATTTATTTCTCTGTGCTACCAATTACTAATTTATTAGCTGATACTCTCGCTGTGACGGTGACTTCTGAGTTCAGCTGGAGCGACGAGAGCACGATGTCCTCGTTTCAAACTTTGTTACATGATTGGTCTTTTTCTGTATGATTTTTCACATGTCTCCCTTTGTATCCAATGCGTTTGGATGTGCTTGTGCGACCTTTCACTTTATCAGCACTATCGGCCTTAGTTTACACTGTTGACTAATATAGCTGCAACTTTGTCAACTGTACGATGAATTTTCTATTCCGAAACTCCTCGAGCACGCTTTTGGAGATATACATCTACTAGCGGCCCTTGCGCTAAAGGTGTGTTAAATTTATCGCGCTATTTGGTCGTGAGGCTCATTTCAGAAGGTAGAACGGTTCTTCTGGCATCTGCATTTGGGTTATAAGGATCTGGCTGCTGGCTGCTGACTTGAATAGTTGAAGGCGTTGTCCGGAAAACAGCTGACAGTAAGCAACCCACAGAGTGGCACAAAGGCTATGATGAGTCTCTCAAGGCGACAATCTCAGGCATTTTAATCCTTACATCATGGCACGGCGCAGTTACAAACTCGCCGTCAACTCAATTTGCACTTAGATACTTGTTAGGATTCGATAGGAATGTGTACGGATCCATTTTCCATACTGAAGGTGTCAACTCTGCCCTCTTAGTACTTGCGTGCTGAGATGCTTCTTTTTCGTTTAGGATTACATAACCCCTCTCCTGATCGTGAAAAGTGCGACTGATGCCCCGGCTTACGGGACAGGTCACAATGGTCTAGGAAAGCAAACCTATTCTCCGTGCAGGTCTTCGTATATGTCTAGGATGTCCGAATTTTCGGCACTGAAGGAGCACGAGTGGATGCTAATACGGCCAAGTTTATTCGCGTCGCAAGAGGTAATGTCCATTTGTGCCTGTTGCAGTAGTGCATAGTGAAGAATAGTGTGAGTTCAAAAGAAAGGAAAGGTCTTATCAAACACAATTGATAGTACAGTGCGATTCGGTATTAAATCTTTCAAGCAATACAGTTGACAAAACATTGCGTTCAGACCTGGGTTGTCTTCACCGATCAAACAACTACATTATTTAGCTATGAACGCAATAGACAACACAATAAACATACCTGTAAAGAAATCCGATCGGAGTAGACTATTTTATGCAAGTACTCGTGCAGCTCCGGTGAGACAAAGTACTCAGCTTCTTCCGCCAGGAACTCTGTGCGAATTCTCTCTTGCAATTGTGTGGTAGTAGTCTGTGGCAATACCCAGGAGAGTGCCGCAAAAGCTAGTACTCGGGCACTAACCGCTTTACCATTTGGCAAAAGGGTGACCACATTGAGTATCTCCAAGGCTTTCTTGTAGTATTCCTTCTGCTCGTTGGTTGTGAGTACACCATCCGGTTCGGCAAGTGTTTGATGCAGCGAGAATTCGTCAAGCGTGACATCCTCCTGGAAATTTCGGTTTGGCAGTAAAGACAGGTAGAAAGATAGCCATTCACAGGTTGTCATGGGAGTGAGTTGCCATCTCAACACTTGGCACATATGAGTCTCCATAAGCACTATCTCGTCCGCAAAGCAGGCTCCGCAGGTTAAAGCGGCCAGCCTGCTGACCTCAATGGGATACGATTCATGCACTTTACTCGCCATCATCAGCGCCGTAGCTCCGAGCAGCTGGAAGTGCTCCTTGAGTACGGGGGTACGAGACTCCGAGAGAAACCTGTCCACATTCATGCAAGCTGTCTGGTATGTGCGTGTTTGTAATTCATGTTCAACACACACCAGACCCAGCCAGTGAAGAAGCACACAACGCATCTTGTCGGTGATCTCTGGATGTTTGTCTTCGAGAAACTCGTCAGTGATGGCATATCGGGTGTCCACCTCGCATCTGGCCAGCCAATCGTCTCTTCTGGCGGTTCCGCGTTCCACAAAGTCTTGTGCAGTCGGTGAGGCAACTCCACACACTCTGTACGATGTATGCGTGTTCGTGTATGCATCGCCTGTGAGCAGCTGGTTGTGTGTACTATGCGTACTGTGTGTACTTTGTGCCTGGGGCGCTGAGTTGGGCTTGGTTCTCTGTTGCCTCCGTTGGCTGGTCGACGTGGAGCGATTGACCACACGCCCGGTAATGTCGCCGAGTATAGGTCCACCCTGCTGTTTGAGTGTGACCTTGCTTGTCGAATTAAGAATCCCACTAGCTTTCCGCGTGCTACTGATTCGTACAGTACGTTTACGTGTGCACTGCTGTGGCTGTTGTTGGCAGGCACCGCCTACAGATGACACACTTGCTGACTCTGATTGAGTACTTAAGGGTAGACATTGCAATTGAGAGTGATTCATCATCGGTGCTAGCATTGTGTTCTCGGTATCTTCCATTAATTTCAATTTCCGTGCGCTGGCTTTGGATGTGTGTTGATGTATGAGATTGTGTGGCGGAAATTTAGACAAACTTTTTACGCGCAGCAACAAATTATAAATGCCCTGATGTACAAGAGTGAAGAAGGCTATTTAAACGTACCTCGTATAAAAATTTCATTATTTTTTTAACTGCACTTCTTTGTACTACTACTCTCTGAGAGAACTTTCAGTTACAAATTGAAAAATTATAATATCGTGCGTGTGTACTGTGTACAGTGGACACTATACTGTGTACCATCCGTCCGTAACTGATCAACAATTTTTTAAATTTTTAAATATTCTCAGTTGGACTTCAGAAGTTCAGAGTCGAAACTCGAATGTATGTAAATACTCTCGCGTGCAAAGTCCCAATCAGACTCAAAGTTCGTCAAAATTTCGGTTCTCACACAGTGTAGTAATAAAATACTACCGAATTTGGATCAGTTACTTACTACCAAATTCTAGTTCAGTTTTAGTTCCTATTGAGCTGCTATAGTGTGCCGGTATACTACCACAAAACCGTTGATTCCATTTTCCCGCCCAACTTTTGATTGGCCCACAATCCATAAAACAATAGAGTTGAGAGTAACTCTGAACTGAATAACTTCGACCTACAGAAATCAGCTGTGGCATTTAGCCATTTACTTTCCCCCCCCCCCCCAACTCAAAGCCCGCTGCTCAAGTTGGAAGCCCGCGGCCCCGCGGCCCGCGCTCATTAATTTTTTGTTTGCCTATTTTACAAATCAAATTTAGCCAGATGTTGGCGACTTGGGCACTTGGCGCCATGGCCCCCACTGCCAGGCGACCCCAGCCCCAGCCCCAGCCTCCAGGCCCAAGGGCCTACGCCCCAACCCCCTACTCCCAGCCTCAGGCCTCAGGCCCCAGGCCCCAGCCCCCCAGAGGCGGCTGACCCGTTGTAACTGATTCAATTTTTTATAAAAATGTGGTGTTGTCCCAAAAAAAATACAGAGGCGAGTATACTACTATGGAGGGCATAGGGCCATAGGCCGTGTGGCGTGTCACCAACAAAATAGACTACCTCTGGCCGGCTCTGTGCTCTGGTTTTGGCTAGAGAGTGAATGGGAAGTAGCGTTGGGAGTGGGTCTGCCACTCGTGGGAGAGGGACATGTACTATTCCTCTATTTTTTCCAGAGGTCATGAAACATGAAAACTTGTCCTAATTTTAAAATTTCTTGGGCCCGCTGGCGCCCGGGGGTTGCGGACTATTGCGGTTATAGGCTGGTAGACTGCCGCGGATTTATAAATCTGTGGCAAACCCCGCCCGAAAAGTATCAGAAAAGCAATTCACTATAATAATAGGCAACTGATGACTGATGAGTGATGACTGACTAGACAAAACCGCGGGGCGCGGGCTCGTGAGGGCGCGAGACTAACGGCGCCCACCTGACATAGTGACGCGTGACTCTGAGTCTGAGGCAACTGTTCTCATTTACTTCTCGGTTCTGAAGGTCTCTCTAGAGGCGCCGTTGTTTTCACTCTTGTGTCAGCAACGAGACATCAAATGCATTTTATTTACCATAGACGGTTCAAACACAGTTCAACTTCAATCTTCAAAGCATATACCCTGAACTTATGATCATGTACCTCTTCTTTCCTCATACTATTGAACTACAGAAGGCAAATGAGATTAGAATATCGACAAATTTACAAACTCCCCGTTCTTCTCATACTGACCATAGTTTGTAGTAGTAAGAAACATAGGTAACTTTGAAGATGAAGCTCAATAGTGATAGAATATTCTGACAAACCAAAAGCTGAATAGTCCGCTTGAGATTCATTAATCATAGATACACACACGTTTTCACATACCTGATGAATACGGACGAACGCACTGAGGTGTTTTATTGTGGAATGCATAGCAACTATGGCTGTTTATTTGCAAGACACGCTGCGGCGCAAAACTCACCGTATCTAATCGTGAATTGTTTTCTACTTGTATCGAATCTTGCGGATGTATTGTTCTACTTAATATACCGGAGTACACCCTTGAAAGGTATCCAACTCTATGAAATTCAAATCAGTATCATAAAAGAACTATATATTCGATTGTCAAAAAGCTATGTATCAATTGTTTCCACTGGACTATTAGTATCGAATCTCCCACATGTATTGTTTAACATAACACTATGAAGTGCACACTTGAATAGCTTACAGCGGCAACAGAACATAGTAAGTAATTTCGAATTATTTTGCAACTGTCTTTTCAATTTTATTTATCGCCAATAAACCGAGAATACCATCTCATAGCTATGAGACGATTATTGAATTAAAGTGAAGGAACCCCTAAACGCATAGGTTTCTCTGTACATGTTTTGAATAATACCTACACGTCTTTTTCCATATGCATTGTCGGCTACAGTATGAATATACCTCAGTTGATTCACGTATTCTCCATCCCAATATGCGTAAGTGTCAGGTATTTCTCGTTTCGTTGGTTGAGGTGTGCATGTACGTCAGATACATTACTTATTGTTAACTACAGCACGCGTATACATCAGCCATTTTTTATCGTATCTATCGTTTATGTTAGCAAAAAAACAGATACGGCTATTGTCTCTCTGTGCGGTCTATTGTATACTAACAAAAAGATATTGATGTTAACCCATAGGAAGCAAAAACATGATATGGAAGCAAAAACATGATATGAGGTTTGATGTGTGTGGGATGTATATCGAATATTAAGCCTTTCCAAAGCGATTTAGGGCGTAAATACGACAGCATATAGCAGTGGCAATTGTACCAGAAAGTAATTGCTCGAAACTCGAGTTTTACGGATTACGGCCTGCATATGCAATAAAGCCAATTTGGGTATACATATGCACACCCAATAACATAACCCTCAGGAGACAGGAATTTTTGAAGTCGTATCCGGGGGAAAAAAGGCTATATTTTCCTTCCCGGGTCTTCGCAGAGTTTTATGCCGTCAGTAGGATAGTTTAACATGTGCTTATATTGAATATAAATATAGTAGATAACAAAGCCCCCTAAAATGTATATACGCACGCAATAATATTTCTTTCTGCGGGTCTAAAGTGTATAAGAGATGTACGACTGATTCTATATATATAGTCCATCAAGAAGGTAATTGTGTCCTTCAGGAAGCTACATATATGTAGTAAATATACACTGATACGCATCACATGTGAATACATACCTAGCGCTGATAGTAACAGCCTTCTAAAAAAAGGTGGAGAAAGAAGAATTCTCTTGTGAGAGAAATATGTTCTTGTTTTGCATTATATTTATTTAGTCTGACTCTGGCAGTCACAGTCACAGTCATAGTCACCGTGTATGTATTCGGTAAACTGAGTTTTTTACTTCAGTGTTGGGGTTTTCCAGCTCGACATATACTTGACCAATATTTTTAAATATTTCCTATATTCACATACCAATAAGTTTTTGGGACCTTGATGATGTAAGTATTTTAATATTGTTTTTAATAAAAAAAACATTTATATCATCCCCACAGAGAGTTTCCAAGGCCCAGACGGTCAGACCCACTGCCCCCAGCCGAAACCCACAATAGAGCTGAGAAAGTTTATAATAAAAATTTATTTAAAAAATGTATGACCTGCTCTGATTTCGTGTAGGAATCTGAAATATAAATACACATACATAGAAAATATACAATTCATTACCTCAGAACGCCGTTTCGTTACTGTTTGACACGACTCGAGAGTATCAAAACAGTTATGTAAAGAGTTTTATATACAAATAGCTATACAACTTAATTATTGCTTTAAATATTCACACATTCATGAAGTATTACACTAATAAGCATACTCTTTAAGTAACAGGCGAACTTTATTAATTATCCTCCTGAACACTACTTTCTATTCTATGTCTCAGAAAATATTTCTTTAAACAGCTTACGGCGCGATGTACAACGGAACAAGGTATGTATTCTAAATCATTTTTTTGCTATACTACAGTGCTTCAGATTTCCTGCATGATCCTATAGTCAGACACGCCTAATTTACGAAGCCTGTATGACTTATGCTATCAGGTCCACGTTTGAATCAATAACTTAGTATGTACACGTAATCATATAAACTTACAATTTATATATATATATATATATATGTGTGTGTGTGTGTGTGTGTGTGTGTGTGTGTGTGTGTATATATATATATATATATATATATATATATATATATACTTATATATATATATATATTATTATATATATATATATATATATATATATATATAGTATTATATATATATATATATATATATATATATATATATATTATATAGTATATATNT